ATGTAATGCAACTTGTCATGAATTATTAAAATGTAATCTTACACCTTGACTGTTCAAAATTGCATTCAAATCTAAGGAGACATTACATCAAAGAAAAGCCCACTGTTGCATGTCCCTGTATTCTCCAGTGTTTTGGTTGATTCTTTTTTTTTTACTTGTTGATCTGCACAACACTCAAAGTCACTATAATTATTCTTATGAGACACACATGCATGGCACGATGAACACAGTTAATTTAACTTAGAATCAGAATAAGTCAGTTTGATTGTGAGAAACCTTTTTGGGTGGGGGCGTCTATTATACACACATACTGCTTTCCTGAATTAAAGTGCTTCTTCATTATAAATATTTATTTCCGCAGTGTTGAAAATAAACCAATCATGATGTAAATTATTTAACTCAATCTGTTAAAAAAACTAATGTAATTGGCCAACTGCCTATACATTTAAAGTTTTGCAGTTGTCACATAGTGCATGTTTAAATTTTATGTAAAACAAACAATACATTTCACTTGCATTGTATATGTCGCTAAAGGTCCTATATTGAACATGACTGTAGTATTTAATGAGTCTTTCTCTGACAGGGTATGTCAACCAACAAGTTCTGATTAGCTGCTGTTTCTGTGTGATGGATGTCTTATCATTTTTCAAAATTTGGCTTTAACATGACAGTTGTTTTATCATTTGGGTGTAATTATAAAACAGTTTTCAGTCGTGGCATGATAATGTGCATATATGCAATGCATTATGGGAAAGAACTTCTCAATATATATGTAATCAAAAACTATTATTCTGAAAACTGTCTAAACAAAGTGTCAATATTCATATAAATATTAGCATATGACTTGTTCACCCCAAATGTCAATAATACTAATGGCATCAGCCCATAATAGAAAAAGTATGGAGAACATGACATATAATCTTCAAATAAACCTAAACCTCCTTAAATATATTTCGAATTGGGTAAAAAAAAGAAAAGTGAATGACTCGTCTTAATTCCTAATTCTGTATTTCTTCAGTAAAGATGCTACAGTGACGTTCTAAGCTGTGTAGCGCCCTCTATTGGCAAATTTAAACATTTTAAATTTTGTCGGCAGAGGGCGATGTGCAGACACACTGATCGTTCTCGGGACCAGATAAAAATGTTGAATTACACAAAACCCTTTTCGCGTGTCTCTTTGTACTACACATACAATTGTAAATAAATAGTTCTACCATGGGGGAAATATGAATCATAAAAATGTAAATATATTGAATAACATTAAATGAATATAAATTAAATTACCTGAAATATGTGAACCACCTTTATAAAATAACACCAGTCTTGCCCACAGTCACTTGTTACCTATAACAAGTCATTGTGGGACAAGACTGGCGTAAT